GGGACTCGAGGCCTGTGGAGTCAAGGCTAGCGGGATCTGGGGGCGTAAGCTTGGTTCGCGCGGGCTGGAGGGCGCTCGCGTGACCTTGGGGTGGGCCGGGAAAAAGCCATTGCCACGCAGGGCGGTCCAAGCCCGGGATAGGGGCAGGAGACCGGTTTCCTCCGCCTCGGCCCACTGGTGGGCTTTCCACCGGAACAGTATTCTTCCATCCCGTCGCCCACGCAGCACTTCATTCATTCGGTCCTTAGGTCTGGAACCGCCGCCGGCCTCCGTGGCGGAAGCTCGTGTTCCAACGAGGGGGACGGGTCGTGGACACGCCGACCCAGGGCGGGGGCGGCTTTGTTGGCTGCTAGTGTCTGGTCGGATGCCGGCCGCAGCGGAGCCGCAGTGCTGTGAAACCAAAGGAAGAACAGCGAAGGGCTTATGTTTTCTTTTCCTGTTTGAGTCTAGTAGTGAGTCTGGGTTTTTTTCTGTATCGTCAAGGCATGTGTTTTGTAAAACTTAAACTTAAATGTGATAATTTGTGCTCTATAAATCTTTGAGTTGGTTCAGACCCTTATGACTTTGACTTGCGATTTTCTTAGAAACCTATCAACTTAATTTTCCAAGTAATGATAAAATTTTTGGCAGAATTGTGAATTCCGTGTAAATACTAGTAGTCTATAGCAATCTTTTGTCTTTTTAGTAAGAGCATGCATGGATATCCCTTAGTGAAAACTCTTAGATTTGCATTTTGCCATAAGGCTAACATTAGCTGAGTTCGTCATTGTGTCTTTTGATCTTCACATGGCAGGTATCATTATCTTCATTTTACCGGTGAGGAAACTGGGGCTCAAAGAGATGAGGGAGTTTCTCCTAGGCTACTCCTCAAGGAGCCACAGACAGTCTGCATGGTTCTGATTGATGTTTGTGGATCTGGGGGAGGGGTGCTGAAATCCAGTGTCTTGCTGCACACTTAGTGCTGTGATTTTGTGGAGTTGGATGTAAATGCACATTTTTGCTGATGTGAAAGTCTGTGAGCTTAAATTCTGATTTGGGGTGAGGCCTGTCCTTGTTTTCCGGATGCTATTCACTATTGGGGATGCCTGCTGTGGGCCAGGTTCTCCAGCCTGCAGCATCACCTCTTTGCATCTTCCTGCACAGGACCCTCATCAGGACCATGATACCTCTACTGAGAATGCAGACGAGTCCAATCACGACCCCCAGTTTGAGCCTATAGTTTCGCTCCCTGAGCAAGAAATTAAAACGCTGGAGGAAGATGAAGAGGAACTTTTTAAGATGTAAGTATGTTCATGTCACTGGAGGGAAAGTTATCTTTAGTGATGTGGAAGTTATGGTTTTTGTGAGCATCACATCTTGGCTTGGCTTGAATGTGGCTATTTGAAGTGTTACCAGAGATAGGTTCTGTTGACAATAGAAATGAGATGAAACAAAATATGAGCACACACATGCAAGGATTTAATTTACTTTCAACCGAAAGGAGAAGACCTGACCTATGGAGGGACAGACTGCTCTTTGAACAAAGGCATACATAAGATTTTTATTGATTTTTCTGGGGTTGGGCTAAAATCTGGTAATTTTCTATTGGTATAGTTTTTGAAGATGTTTTTTCTTGTACCACACTAGGACCACCAGGACCCTTCCCTGGGTTCCCTAGCTGTCCTTACTTGCCATCTCACCTCCAGCAATCCAGTTTCCTTCCCTTGGTGGAGCTGGAAGTCTTAATTGTTTTTGCAGCATAAAGTGGTATCTTACCTGTTTTCTGTTGCTATATCAGAATACCAAAGAGTGGACCATTTACAAAGAATAGAAGTAGGGGGAGATGTAATTCAATGGTAGTACCCCTTTTCCAGCATTATGTTAAGATATTACTTGGTGGTAGAGCACTGCCTAGCATTATGTTAAGCTGAATTAAGTTTTCAACAAAAGTTTAGGGCACATTTAAACAAGTACAAACTTTGGCAGTCTGAAATTTGGGAATTCCCGACTCTTTTCATGAACAAAATAACTCTTGGAATTACAAGTGAAGATGGATAGCTTTATTTATGAGGTTTATTTGTGTGTGTGTCTGTATTTAATTACTTTTTGGTTGGGAATTGGTTGTCTGGAAATTGAACCCAGGATACTCTACCACTGAGCTACATCTGTATCTCTTTTTATTTTTTGAGATAAGATATTAAAACGAGGTCCTACCCAAGTAACCCAGGCTGGTCTCGAATTTGCAGTCCTCAGACCATGCCTGGCTCAGGGTTACTTTTTAAAAAGTAGTGTACACACGTTAGTGGTGGGGAGGTTTTGAAGTACCACTAGGTATGAGCTTTGTGTTTTGTGACTGCATCACAGAACTACAGAGATCATAGCTTACGCCCAGAATTGCCTGAGATATTAAATTCAGTTACACTTCAGTGAAAGTAAGGTTTTAGTTTATTCCTTGTGCAAATTTGTGCCCTCTAGTCTCCACCCACTTCAGGTAAATCCAAGATACCAGGTTTGGCTATTCTGAGGTGGATGAAGGAAGATGAGAAAATTCCATCCCAAGCCATTCTTCCAGGGATTGGGGCTGGAGAAGGAAGCATGGGCAAAGAAAGCTACAGGTGCCCTTTTGGTCCTAGAGGGTGGTGGGCATTTCCTAAAGATACAGGATTACTGGTCTCTGTTCTACCTTGGGATTGCTGTAGCCCCAGGTGGGGAGTAGCTCGTACTTGAGGTGACATGATACTTGTCATCTCCTTACCTGCCATGGGTTGAGAAGTGTTACTGTCTTGGGCAGGGCCACTTGCTCTCAGACATGAGGCCAGTTGATTGGGCCTTTTCATCTGGACCTTTGGGTTTCCTGTTAAGTAATCTTATTTTGTTTTTTGGTAAGGGATCGAATTTTAGGGCACTCAACCACTGACATCCCTGGCCCTATTTTGTATTTTATTTAGAGAGAGGGTCTCACTGAGTTGCTTAGCACCTTCCCTTTGCTGAGGCTGGCTTTGAACTCCCCATTCTCCTTTCTCAGCCTCTCAAGCCTCTGGAATTACAGGCATGCGCCACCCACTGTGCCTGGCCTATTAGGTAATCTTGTGAGAATTTGGTATCCCTGGACTGAATTGAGGTTGGAGGAGGGTAGAGTCTTTGGTAGAAGTGAGACAGGCAGAACTGGGGGTGCAGAGGGAGGATGCTAATCTGAGCCCTCAGGACAGAACTATTGATTCACTGCTGGATCCTGGGTGCCCCTATAGGTGTGAAGTACTGCTCCTTGACAGGGAGATTCATGTTCTGGTCCTCTGGGTTGAGGGCACACAAGCAAATTTATCTTTGGGAAGACTTGGGCCTGAGAAAGACCTCTATGTGGCCATGGGATGCTATGGTAGGCTCAGCCTACTGAGGGTTTTTTTACTTTTTCCCTTTGACGGGTCATGTTTTCGCTGGGGAAAATGTTGAAACTATTCACATTTTTTCATTTTGGCTGTGAAATTAAAGTGACCTGTAATTTGTTGGCTGTGCTGCTCTTTTGGGTGGTATTGGGTGCCTAGTAGTTATTTGAGCTCAAAGGAGGGAAAGAGTGTTTGTAGAAACATGAGATCCAGTGGCACATAGCTGTGCTGTGTTTAGCACTCACTTAATGGTTTTTCTTAACAGGCGAGCAAAGCTATTTCGATTTGCTTCAGAGAATGATCTTCCAGAATGGAAGGAACGAGGCACTGGTGATGTCAAGCTCCTGAAACATAAGGAGAAAGGAACCATCCGCCTTCTCATGAGGAGGGACAAGACCCTGAAGATATGCGCCAACCACTATAGTAGGTGGCCTCTTAAGGTTGATTTTTTTATTCTCAGCCCCTAAGCTATGTTAGATTGACTTGGGACCTACAGGAAGTTTTTTTAGGCCCTACTTGGAACCTGGGAATGTGTTGTTACATGGAGTGCCTGTTTGTGGTATTTGTTGAATTTAAGATATGAAGTATACCTTTCTTTTGGGCTCAGTGGTACATGCCTATAATACCAGCTACTAGGGAGGTGGAGGTACAGGATTGCCTATTCTAGGCCAGCCTGGGCATTTTAGCAAGGCCCTGTCTTGAAGTAAAATTATAGAAAGAGATGAGCATGTAGTTCAGTGGTAGAACACTTGGCCTAGCATGTGCAAGGCCCTGGGTTCAACCCCCAGGGCTGGGAAGGAAAAAAAAAGTCTTTCAAATGTGCCTTTTAACTATGAGCTACAGTGAAGCTTAGAGAACATGGGATGTTCTCTTAGAGAAGATGGGTCCTGATAGGATGGATGCAGAGCACCAGGCCAGTCTAGGGACATGGAATGAATGGGAGGGTGTCCCTACTGCTTTTGTCTACTGACTGCCATGCAGAAACAATTCATGCTCCTCTTGGTGGGTGCCGTGTTGAGAAGCACATGTGTCCTGGACCATCCCTTGGTAGACCTCCTAGTGCTGAGTCTGTATTTTCCAGAGCTATCTGTGTGGCTCCCAGTGTCTGGTGCATTTTATGGGCCCTTGTCAGGTGGGGAGGATGGTTGTGAGTGTAGGCCAGGCATCCAAGTGGGGTGTGGAGGAGGTACGGATGTGTAGAATGTACAGGAGGCCTGGAGACTATTATGTTGGGCTGCAGTGGATGAGATCTCTGAGCTCTAGTTTACACTGATTTGTAGGTGTGGCTGTGAATGGGGTCATAGATCCACCTGTCCCTGGAGACTTCTACCAGAGGCACAGGAGTCATTGACTGGGTGGAGATACCAGGGACAAGGTGTCTACAAGACACCTGTAGACAAGAGGCTCTCTTTAGGGGACGCTCCCTGATTGGCTGTGGGACCCGTCTCCCTTCTTCTCCCCTCAAGTTTGCATGGGCCTAATGGGTTCAGGATAAGCGTGTTTATTCTAGGCCATTGCCCTGTCTTCATGACTTAAAAGCATTTGTTATGGGACTCTGATATCAACTATTCTCATTCCTCAGTGTTCATCTTAGACGATAGAACATGGAGTGGTCATGCTGGCCTGATTATGTGTCCTGGATGAGAGTCCTGTTTCTGGATTTCTTCCCTTCCATTGACCCCCACCTTCCAGTCAGCCAGATTGAATGCCATTAGGAAGGGCTGGCTCCCTTGACTTTGCCCTGATGTCTGACTTTAGGCCTTGGGACTACAACACTGGGAGGCTACTACCAAGGGGCTTGGTGTGAGCAGTCACACTGGAATCAAAACTGAAGCTTGCTTTACCCATGTCTACTTTTCTGGAGGTAGGGTCATCTGTGCTGAGTGGTCTTAAGATAGTTCATTCAGGAAACCCTCAGAGATATCCTCATGGTCAGGGAGCGGGTGCCTTCCCACATTTAGGACAGTCCTAAATGTGGATGGTTTTAAGGGAATATGGACTGTTTTCAAAGAGGTTTGGGTGAAATGTAAACCCTGTGGGATTTTGTCTGGGCCTGGTTCTCAAACTCCAAATTTTCTATGTTGCCTGAAATGAGTCTTTCAGTTTGATGAGCAGAACTCTTTTTGGCCGAAGGGTTTGTGAGCTTTCCTAGGTAGTCCCCATCAGCCTCATAGGCTTTTCTCTTCCAAGTCACGCCAACGATGGAACTGAAGCCAAACGCCGGCAGCGACCGTGCCTGGGTTTGGAACACCCATGCTGACTTTGCTGATGAGTACCCTAAGCCAGAGCTGCTCGCCATCCGCTTCCTAAACGCTGAGAGTAAGTGGAAAGGGGTACCCTGGAGACCTACTGATTGTAGCATTGCAGTGCAGTGTTGCTTTTGGAGAAAAGGTGACAGTGACTGGGAATGTTCATTGGAGAGTTTTGGCATGCTATTTGGGAGCTGTGCAGGGTGTTTCCTCTTAGGTGCTAGTGCTGAGCAAGTGTCCATGGTGCAGTCCCAGATCTTGCTCCTCAAGCTCCAATTCCCATTGGGTGAGTGGAGACTGAGTCAAACCTCAGGATTTCCTACCCATTGGTGCTTTTGCCAGGTTTATGGCTCCCTGAGGCTAGGTACAGTGATGTCACCTGGATACCAACAACCTACAGAGACTATGCAGAGGTCTGTAGATATAGGCTGACCTCTCTCCTGCTTAGGGTTTTTTCGTGGATTTGTGAAAGCTGAGGAGTTAGTGGTTGCCATGTCCAGCACCCCAGTAGTTGATGGTTTGGTGGAGTGGGGCTGTCCAAGACTGTGTGGCTCCCAGTGCCTGGTGCACTTTATGGGCCCTTGTCAGATGGGGAGGATGGTTGTAGAGAATAGTACTTGGAAAAGTCCTTCGTTGTATGAATTGTCACAGTCAGATGAAGGGAGATGGCCCAGCCCATCCTTAGGTTAAAAATTGCATAGGACAAGAGCCCTCTGGGAATCCTGGTCTTTCAGACCCTCTAGGATATGTCCTTTCCACACTTGGGCTCTTAGGAATTTATCTCTTTTTCCACAGATGCACAAAAATTCAAAACAAAGTTTGAAGAATGCAGGAAAGCGATTGAAGAGAGAGAAAAGAAAGGTGACACTATGCTCCTGGGTGGGGGGTTCCTTGCAGACTCACTCTGCACCCAGCTGCAGTCCCAGGCGGGTGCTTTTTCAGTCTGCTAAAAAAACATTCCAGGAGCTGTGGCTGCCTGAATCTGTCAGGGACAGTGCAGCTGCCTGGGGACACAAGGTGCTTCCTTGGGGTGGGGGTGGGGGGGCTCCTGAGCTCATGTTCATCATCATGGCTCACATCAGTGGGGTCCAGGTGGGCAGTTAAGTCATAATGTATGGAACCTACCAGGTGATTTGAGAATCATATCCTCATTTTCTCTTTGTAGGACTTGATCTCCTGGTTCTTAGGGGCAGATGGTGGCTGTGGTAGTAAGTGACCAGATGTCACTGAGCAGCCCAGTAAGAGTGGCCAGCAGTATTTTCTCTGGGCTCAGCTGGGGAGATTAGTGGGCAGTGCTCAGGGATGAAGTATCCCCTGTGCTCTGGGCCTGGTGAGGAGGCAGCATAATCTGGACTTCTATTTTCTTACTGTGCTCTCCTTTTTGGTAGGACTGGGCAAAAATGATAATGCTGAAAAAGTGACCGAAAAGCTGGAAGCTCTTTCTGTGAAGGAGGAGAACAAGGAACCTGGAGAGGAGACCGAGGAGAAATCGGAGAAGCAATGAGTCGTCTTAATTTCTTTTCCTTTTTCTTTTTCTTTTTCTTTTTTTTAATTTTGCCCTGCCCTTCCTTTTGGGTTTATTTTTATTCTGTTATGTTTTCATAAGGACTTTATATAAAGAACTGAATTCCAACATTCAGGTTTTTTTTCTTAAGTTTTTACCTTATTGAAGATGACTTGAGAAAATCCATTCCCCAGTCATGAAAATGTACTGTGCTAACTTTCTTTTCCATAGTGGAAACACTTATTTATAGTCATCAAAAATAGTGAATAAAAAATGCATTTGAAACCTGGAGCAGATGGTAGGACTGCATGTGTGTGGATAGTACTGTGAGCACTGTTGGTCCTGGCTAGCTCCTGGGGGTGCCTGCCTGAGCCCTTTTGAGTATGCATGTTCAGGTCTGCCTGTGACTGTGATGGTGGGTCTTGATGTTGCCACGGGTTGTATCTTGGAAGACTCCTTGCCTTGCTGAGGTTGTGGGTCTTGGAGAACTTGAGCTGCTGTTGGCCACTGGAGGCATGGTGTGTCAGCCCGTGCTGGAACAGGGGCTGGTGCATGGGGCTGAGGTGTGTTCTGCCACTTCTTTAGGCCTGAATAGCTGTTGTTGCACTGTGGTGAGGAGATAGGTGTGTATATGTGTGTGTGTGTGTGTGTGTATGCATTTGGTTCTAGTTGGCCCCTATTGGCAGAGTGGTGGGCATAGTCCTTGCCAAGTGGGGCTTAGTCCTATATCCCTCCTGTGGGAAACCCTGTCAGATACCTCACCACTTGGAGCAAAGTATCTCAACTCTGGACCTCCTGGACTTGAAATCTAAACTCAGCCTTGTTTGAATTGTGAGCATCTGCAGTAGCTTTAAATAAGAGGTATTTTCAAGCATGCTCTTTGGGGTTTGGTATAGCAAAAACATGTTCTCAGACATTTTCTTAAGGGGAGAAAGAAAGGGTTTCGTGTACAAGAGGCTTTTTAAAGCATGTCCTGACTGTCATGTGTCTAAGGTGACCAAGAGACAAGGCTCTGAGGAGTTGTGCCAGCCCTCCCCGCCATAGGGCAAGATTGAGCAAGGACCTGACCCCAGATGAGCCACAAGACGGACTCAGTCATGACTTGTGGCAATTTGCCCTTAACATCTACCAGGGTAAAGTGTGGGCATCTGCCACACTTCTGCTGTTGCTCCTTAATCTCTCCATCTGTCAGTGGTGTCTCCTACAGGCTGTTCTGTCTGACCTTCCTGAGTGCCTGGTCCTGCTTGGTGAGTGTATGTCCTGTTTAAACACAGTTCCTAATTCCTGCGGGAATCAGCTGCTCTTGTTATAAAAACCCACACAAAGACTGCTGGGAACCTTGTGAATTACCTCCAGCACATTGGTACTGGCTTGGTGGGGCTCTACCCCAGGAGGAGTTGAGGATTGCACACAGTGACCATTAAATCCTATAGCAGTAGAATTGTGATGCTGAAAATCATGGGTGGAACCTCACTGTGCTGTTTACATTCCCTTGAAGCCTCACAGGCACAGGAGTCAGATATGTTGCACACCATGACTTGATCTTCCTTGAAGAAAACCCTCCACTGGGATAGAATGAGTGTTTAACATGGTCTTTGCTTTGGGTTCCAATAATCCTCCAGCTAAATTCCTTCATCTAGGGATGGGAGAAGTGTTTCCAAACGGTGTTTCTGGCAGCAGAAAGACTCTTCAGAATGGATGGGGGACACTACCATCCTCTGCTCAGGTTGTATCATGGGGTGCATTAAAGGACATAGCTTGTGACACTGTAGGAAGTTCTGCTCAAAGGGAGACTGAGTCAGCATCAGCCCTACTGGCCATCATGTAGGCTAAGTAAGGGTACGTACTGCCCAGCCTGACATGTTTCCAGGTTGTCATCCTTTGGCAAAAGCAATGTAGGTCCTAATAGAAGTTAGGGATTATGAGGAATGCATCAGTGTATCTGTTCCAGGTGTGTGCCAAGACTGCCTCCCCAGTGGATACCTGAAACCTCATTACTGAACATACTATTATTTCATATATAAATATACATGTACACATAACTTATGTTAAAGTTAGGCATAGTAAAAGATTAACAATGGAAGAAGATTAAATGGTAATAGTGAATGTAATGTTGAAATTATTGTACTAAATATCTTAGCAACATTTTTTTCCTTTCCTAATTAAGTGGAAAACTCACCTTTTCATTTACAGGAAGAACTTCACAGCTTCTCTTTAACATATCCAAATTGCCAGCATTACTACTACTTTGCTTTGGGGCCATTATTAAATAAAGGTTACTTGAACATAAGCATTACAATGCTAGGGCAGCTGATCTCATAACTTAGAAGGCTACTAAGTGTCAAATGATTAGGGTAGTAGATACAGTGTGGATATGTTGGGTGAAGGGATGATTCACATAAGCTGTTTGGAGCAGGATGGTACAAAATTTCATTTTAGTTTAGACAATATAAAACTCAAATTGTGGGCTGGGATTGTGGCTCAGTGGCAGAGTGAGGCACTGGATTCAATCCTCAGCACCATATTTAAAAAATAAAGTTATTTAAAAATTCATTGTTTATTCAATTTTCCATTTAATAATTTTTGGGTTGCAGATAACTGAAACCATTGAAAGCAAAACTGCTGATTAGGGGGTATAGATAGCCTTACATCTCAGGTCTGTGTGCTGGGTTGACTGAGGAAGCACCTACTTGCTTCGTTTTCCCTGTCCCTTTCCCTTGGACAGCATGAGGCTGAGAAGCAATACTAGTGAGTGAGGCCTGTTTCATCCTCATGGTGCCCAGCTTCCTCACTGCTGGCCCCATTGCTTGTCTGGCCCTGCAGGTAGAGTAAGTACTGAGGCTTACCTCACTGGGACCCCTCTGGACCCCTATCTGCCTGCTTAAATGTGTTGAGATCCAAACCTATTTCTCCCTGTGACATGTTTGACATTTTTCTTCAGGGCTCTCCAGCAAGGGGGGGAGATGACTGTCCTTGGCACCCTGTATACAGAGTGGGTGTGGAGTCAGACCTGGACCTACAGGGCCTGGTGTGATATAGGTGTGTCACATAAGAAATTACTGTGAGGTTGGGGCCATTCCTAATGGAGGGCAGGGTCTGAGCTTTCTGTTCTGAGTGCAGAAGGGCAGAAACAGGTAAAGTCATGGGTTGAGTTGCTCTTCTGAGATGTGTTCCCATCCCTGAAGTTCCTTTTGAGACCACCTGAGAGCTGGGGCGGGGTGGTATCAGGTCTTTGCTCACCAGTGTGCAGGGATCCCTCTATCTCATTGTAGTCCCCATTAGTGCTGGGAGAACCCTCCCCCTTCCCCTGTACTGGGCCTTCTGGAGTGGAACATCCTGCAGAACAGAAGTTTAGGAGAAATCATTTCTGTTGGATAGCTAGCTGCATTAAGGCCCCTGGTCCTCTAACAGCCAGATCTTCCCTGAGGAGCTTATTAGGTGCTTCATAAGACTAACAAGGCAAAGATCCCAGGTTTGAGATGGTGTGACAGGGAGGAGGTAGCTGCTGGGTGCTGGGTCTTGGCTAGAGGATGAGGACCCTCCTAGGTCCCCATATGGGGAGGGCTGTAATAGGTTCCAGAGCAGAAGACATCCGGGGCATTTTGGAGTGGCCAGGACAGGACCTTGCTAGAGAGGCAATAGAACTACGAGGTCTCCACTCAGGCGCTAAGTGTGCTCTGCCAGGGAGTCCAGTGCAGTTGCCCAGACCACTTATACACGTCTCAGACGACCTCATCCTCTAATGCCGGTCCACCTTAAGTGATAACTGCACTGGCACTGGAGGGTGGGATTTCCTGCGGGAGGTGGGCCTGCTCACCAGGCCTATCCCGATCCTGGGCAAGGTGATGGCGCCCCCGTGTGGGGCATCCAGCCTCTGGGAGGAGTCCCAGGGTCTCATACAAACACCCTTCCAAGCCTGCAACCTGGGCCAGGACGCGGAGGGGCCTTATAGCCCCTGCTCGGTTCAGACCTGAAGAATGGCATTAGGGTTGTGAGATGGGGAAGGTTGATAAACGACACTGATGCCCCTGCAGTATCACAAAATCACAAAATCCACCCCACCCTCGTGACTGCCAGATGGCTCCAGATGAGGGGGCTGTCCCTGCCCAGGAATAGCATGTACCTGTGGCCATCAGCCTGCGCCAGGATGCACATGTGATTAGGAGAAGGAACTATTTAGGATCTGTACAAACAGGCCCAGGAGGAAACCCGCACCGGGTAGGACCAGGGTCTCTGGCTTTCACGGAGGTTGCCACTCGTCCCGCAAAGTCTGCAGCGTACAACAACTGCGCTGAGCCCGAGGCAAGGAGTGACCCCGCCCCTCTGAAGGTCTGGGAGGTCCGAGGGCGGAGGGCACTTGCGTGGGGCTGCAGGAGGGCCGCGAAGGAGGCCAACGCACCGCCCCCGCTGGACGCCCCCCC